CCCCCCTTAAAAATTTTCCTCGCACACTATATATATATAGTATATATATATATTTGTTTTTTGAAAATTCTTTCAAGAGTTACTTACCGGTTGCTCTTCCAAGCTACCTGAATTAAGAATCATGAAGAAAGAATGAAAATTAATTAAAATATAAGTGGAAAAAAATAGTTCAGAATTTGTGGTTCGTTTTTCGATGTTTTTACAAATCAATACTTGCCCAACCCCAAAATATTGTCTTCTGTTTTTTTTTTGGCACAATAAAACCGAATCTGATATTAATTTTGCGATATAAATAATTTTTGTAAGACTTTTTCATAGAAAAATCACCAAAAATTTGGATTTGCATGATTTTATTTTTTACGCATTTTAATTATTTCGATTTTATTTTATATGATGCAATTTCAAATCATAATAATAAAAATCTCTGTCGAGAATCTAAAACACGAAATTTCTGATATCAATTCTGTGTGACGAAAATAGTTATAAGATAATATTCCTGTGTACTGTGAATATAAATTTGTCAATTCGAAATTTTGCAGAAATTCATCCCATTTTATTGTCAGTACTGACGCAATGCAACGTTCCGAATATACAAATATATATCATGTTCATATTCACACTGTGTACTGTACACAGAAAAATTATTTGTTAGAAAATAGTTGGATTTTCGTCACAGAAAATTAAAACAAGAATTTTCCCAGATATGCGCTATGCGGCTTAAAGATTAAAGCTTAGATTTGGACAAAAAATCGGTGAAATTTCCAAGGGTTAAGCTCATTTTTGAGATAATAGCCTAACGGGAACTTTTTGGTTTTTGGCTAATTGGCCACTCCAAATCAAAATTTTTGGACTCTAAATTGCATCATTCATTTACTCACTTCAAGACTTTTCCAACGATATGCACATTGCGGTGCGTTACGTGGAAGTACCTCGGTGAATATAGGGGAAAAAGTAAAAAAATTACTTTTCGTGACAAGCCACGACCAACACGGCTGTCTTATCGAAAAGTATGTATGAATCACTTTTCTAATGATTCGTATCTCACGTATTCACTTTGTATGTCTGATTTGTGTTTTTTTCAATCGTTACATGTAAATTACGATTGAATATATGAATGGGTAAGAATAATCATGACCTCCAAACATTCTTTAAAAAAATACTGATACAAGACGATGAATTAAAATAAATGAGATACTAACTCGCGTTTAAAATAAATCTGATACTTGAAAGATATCGTTCAAGTATCAAATTTATTTTCAATTCTGGCTAGTATCTCATTTGTGCATTATACCGAGTCTCCGAGAGTTTCATATAAGCCTTCCCATGTAGATGGTAAAAAATCGTGAAAAATGAAAAAAATAATCAAATTTTTTTTCTTCGATTTACAAATACTATTCAATTTTCTGTACCATCTAGTGAAATCAGAATGACAAAAATCGCATTCCTTATCACCCAAATCACGATTTGCATTCGGTCACTATTCAATAGGTGTTACATAGGAAGTTTATATGAAACTCTCGGAGACTCGGTATAGAGCACTCAATCAGTGAAAAAAGTCCAGATCGTGATTTAGATGATATGGAATGCGATTTTTTTCATTCTGATTTCACCAGGTGATATAGAAAATTGAGTAGTATTTGAGAATTGAAGAAAAAAAAATTAATAATTTTTTTTTCATTTTTCACGATTTTTTACCATTTATATAGGCGGCTTATATGAAAAACACGGAAGACCGCTGAAATGACACTGTCGTACGTCCGTACGTATTTTGCATTTGCCATTTCAGCGGTCTTCCGTGTTTTTCATACAAGCCGCCCATGTAAATGGTAAAAAACCGTGAAAAATGAAAAAAAAAATAATAAATTTTTTTTCTTCAATTCCCAAATACTACTCAGCTTTCTGTATCACCTGGTGAAATCAGAATGACAAAAATCGCATTCCTTATCACCCAAATCACGATCTGGATTTTTTTCACTTTTTGAGTGCTCTATACCGAGTCTCCGAGAGTTTCATATAAACTTCCTATGTAACACCTATTGAATAGTGACCGAATGCCAATTGTGATTTGGGTGATAAGGAATGCGATTTTTTTCATTCTGATTTCACCAGATGGTACAGAAAATTGAATAGTATTTGTAAATCGAAGAAAAAAAATTATATATTTTTTTCATTTTTAGCGATTTTTTTAAATCTAAATGGAAGGCCTGTATGAAAAACACGGAAGACCGCTGAAATATATATACCACGATTGAATTCAGTAAATCAGTGATATACAGTGGCCTATCACCCAAATCACGATCTGGACTTTTTTCACTGTTTGAGTGCTCTATACCGAGTCTCCGAGAGTTTCATATAAACTTCCTATGTAACACCTATTGAATAGTGGCCGAATGCCAATCGTGATTTGGGTGATAAGGAATGCGATTTTTTTCATTCTGATTTCACTGGATGGTACAGAAAATTGAATAGTATTTGTAAATCGATGAAAAAAAATTTGATTATTTTTTTCATCTTTCACGATTTTTTACCATCTACATGGGAAGGCTTAAATAAAACTCTCGGAGACTCGGTATAATGCACAAATGAGTTAAAATAAATGAGATACTAGCCAGAATTGAAAATAAATTTGATACTTGAACAAATTGAAAATAAATGTGATACATACCACTCTTATTTTCAATATCTTTCAAGTATCAGATTTATTTTAAACGCGAGTTAGTATCTCATTTATTTTAATTCATCGTCTTGTATCAGTATTTTTTTAAAGAATGTTTGGAGGTCATGATTATTCTTACCCATTCATATAATGATAATGGAAAAATCAATGAAACAATGTACTAAGGTAAGAAAATTTTAAGCTACCCCAATCATTCCATGACCATTCATCACGTTGATCTACATTTCTCTGTGACATTGATAAATTTTGTGTGTTTGACGCTATTGACAAACTTGTTGATGCCATTGCTGCTATTGGACTGCTTGGATCTTGTGATGTCTAAATATAATAAAAAAAGTGGTTAGTTTTATTTTTATGTAGTAAATCAAATATTATTTTTTGAATTATTCAGATCTCATATTGCATTTTTGTGATTTTTTCAAAATTGTCATCAAGTACTGAAAACCGGGTTGGTCAAGCAAAAATTCATTTTTGGTGATTCTTATGGTTACAGCTCATCCAAACTTGAACCAAAACAATAGATTTAGACACGACCATTAGGAATCAGCAAAATAAGTTACGAAAAAATTCCAAAGGTTGTCAAAAATTGGGTGTTTACTTCACCTCATAGCATGTTGCACTGAAAAATTCATCATTTTGGACAGTGAAACATTCATCGCTATATTGAACCATGAATGAAGTGCACGTGGTTTCTTTTGCATGACTATGTTAGGGCACTACTATATAAGGCTAGAGACGTCGACAAACTGAACTTTGATAAAGGGGTGTTGGTATGTATCTTCTTTGGAAGGTGTTTTAGAGCCATTGTTCGAAAGTTTAGTGCTGAAACGTAAGGTTAAACCTCCATTACTTGCTCTATTATCAACCAATTACTGTTTAAATCGATAGAATTCGTTGAGAACTATCTGATTAAAGACAAAATTGTGCTCTGCAAGCAGAAAAAACCACAATATTGGTTCACTACTTAAAATATAGCATTTCCATGAAAAAAGGACCATCTTTTTAACTTCACAAAAAGAAACCAAATTAATTATTTCTCGATGGATTGAGAGAAAGTTGAAAGAAATCGACAAATCGGTTGTTCAGAACATAATTTTGTTGGTTCGACGCATACTGATAAAAATCGAAGATAATGGCCCGTTCAATGTAAAATGAATGTGCTGTTCGATAGCCTATGAATAAAGGTTTATACCAATAAAAATGAATTTAATATTGTGTGTTTGTTGTTCAAATGGCGGACGTCTGAATTTTTCCTAAGACTTTTGGGACATATGTTAAAATCTATAAAATTATCACATGAGTTTGAAAAAAAAATCGACAACCCTTCTAGTTATTTATTACATACATCCATATCTCCGGCTACATCCCAATTTTCATTGCCATAATCACTAGCTAAATCATTTCCATAATCGCTAGCGGAAACGGATGTATCATTGCTTTCATGTTCCAAAGATGTCATTGACGTGACGCTTGATGTAGTTGTTGACAAGCTACTGCTAGAAGGTTGCTCTGTAATTAATATACATATAAAAGAGATGTATTCCGGGCTATTGCAGGAGAATTTTAATGAGATGAGAATGTCATTATTTTATGCAATATGAAAGTACTATTCTTTCGAATTCTTTACTTGGACTTTTTTACAAGAGAAAAATTATGTTAATTTGTGGAATTAGCGTTTATATAGTAAAGTACACAAAATATGAACCGATTAATTACATGCTTCTTTCAATGATTTATATAGCAAGAAATGTGTTAATCGTATTATTATTGATTTCGAGAGGTTCTTTGCCACTATTGGGCAGAGAATTGAAAGTTATTACAAACAGAACAGATAAAATTTAGTTAAAATAAATCGTTAAAGTTCGTTTTGATCATTGTGCAAAGTAGATTTTAAGAGAAGTTTGTAATTGTAATTTTTGAGTTATTTATTTATCTAAATAAATCACCAGGCTAGGCAATGGTTTATTCATTTCATCGTTGGTTTTCCCCCTTTTGTGAAATTCGAATGAAATTATGTTTAAAAACAACAAAAACCGGTGTAAGGATCGCAATATTTACTATAATGGTATGTGGCTATTTAAACAATTTATAGTTATTCATTTCACTGTGAACAAAGTGAGAATCAGGATTCCGTGCCACCGTTTGAAATGTAAACTTTCTGATATCAATTTTGTGACGAAAATAATTAGTAGATTTTTTTTCTGTTTTGTTCCGTGAAGATTTAAATACAGATAAAGCGAAAATTGGAAAATTGCGGGATGGAACTTAATATGAAAACGTTAGTATGTTTTCAAATAAACTTTCTAGCATACCTAGTGAAGCAGGTTTAGCTTTACCAGTTAATGGGGGACGCTGTGGCCGGCCAGTATCACTTTGACTACGATAAAACTTTGCGGCAACTGCGGTAGCCACCCATCCAGCCCACGTTGCAGCTGCGTTGCCTAGAGACTCCTTTGTGTGTACATCAGCTTCTGTGAAAACATGTAATTATTTCAAATATATTAATTATTTTAATAATAATAATAACTGCACCGAACAGCGTTCCTTCGCCTTGGTGGTTTATTCAAATCAAATTGAATAAATATAATTTAATATTATTTAGTAATCTAAACATTTTTCATCAAGCAACTTTGAGAGAGTCGTTGAGAGCTGTATTAATAGGTCTCTTTATATACAATTTTATTATTTAGATCTGATATTTACAATTTATAATTTCATTTGAGATTTCTGTTTCATCTGTTTAGTTTTAAATAGTTTTCAATACTCAGTTTTACTGTCGATAAATTTACTTCTAAATCAATTAAATTTGTATCACTGTTTGGTATTTTTTTGTATAATAATCATTGAATGTAGTAAGCATATAATTAATTGGTTCATATTTTGTGTAATCCCTTCTTCTAATTGGTATATCAAAAAGCGGCATTGCAGGGGTATTATGCGCTGAATCATAATAATTTAAACTGTTTGATATATGACTCGACTTCATATCTCCATGAATAATTTTGAAGATGAAAGACACTTGCGCCACCTTGCGTCTCTCCTCAAGAGTATTCCTTTGCAAAAACAGCAGTCTATGTTCATATTTCGGAAGCCTGTAACTGTCCAAGTTCATTCTCCTTAGCGCAAAAAGTAAAAATTGTTTTTGTATAGACTCTATTCTTTTGCACATATTGTCGTAGTGTGGATTCCATATTTCTGATCCATATTCTATAATTGGTAATACAAATGTAAAATAAAGGCGTTTAATTGTCCATGGATCGACGAAATCCTTGCCGTAGAACTTTAACTAAGCCAGTCTTGATTTGACTTTAGCCGTGACATGCTCAATGTGTGACTTGAAATTCATTTGCACATCAAGCAACACTCCCAAGTCCCTTAATACAAAGACTCTTTCAATTGGAACGCCGCCTATGTTGTATTTGTATTCATATTGCAGTGATACCCGATGATATGATATGATCTTAGTTTTGTTGACATTTCATTTTAATAAATTGAGTCCATAATAATCCGCTACACGATCCAAGTCATTTTGAAGATTAATGCAGTCATCTGTTGAGGTGATACATTTTGAAATTTTTGTATCATCAGCGAATGAAAGTATGCATGAATTGGTCACGACGAAAGGTAGATCAATTACAAACATGATGAACAAAGTAGCGCCAATGAGATATCCTTGATCCCGTCCCAGAAGGAACTTCGATTGGGTTAGATTTGGTATCTGCTATCTTTACAATTTGTCTGCGACCAGACAAGTAAGATTCGATCAATTTTAACAGGTGCTTATTCAATCCCATGATTCCAAGTTTTTGAATAAGTAATTTTAAGTTAACCGAGTCAAAGGGCTTGGCAATGTCCAAATAGATGGCGTCTGTTTGATGTCCCCTTCCTATGTTAATAATCGTTTTTGAAGTAAATTCCGCTTAACCGTTGACCTGTTCTTGATGAACCCATGTTGACTTTCGTGTACTAATTTCTTCAAATATAGATTGAGATGGTCTGTGACGATCGAATCGAGAATCTTTGACGTAATGCACTGTAAAGCAACACCGCGGTAATTTTGAACGTTGTTTCTATCGCCGTTTTTGTTAACTGGTCTGACAAAGGACGTCCATAACTGCGGTACAGTGGCAGTTTCAAGTGATTCCTTTAACAGTGTTGTGATTGGACCCTGCAATGATATCAAACAATGCTCGATGAATTGGTTTGGAATTTCATCTGGACCACAGACAAGATCATCTGGCAGCATGCTTATATGTTGGCCAACAAGTTCCTCGGTTATTTCGATTATTGATATTTCAGCACAAATATCACGTATTTTTTCTATTTCAGAGCTGTCATATCGCAGATCACCTTCTAAAGAGCTGTAAGCGGTGCCAAAGTGTTTTGCAAAAAAACTAGCAATTGTTGATTGATCGCTTGCTTTTACATCCAAATAATTTTCCCTTTTTTGTTAATCACGTGTTTATAAAATTTCTTTGGATCATCTATCTGCTTCTCCATCTCTATTCTGTAATCTCTTTGAGCTTAGCGTGCACTTCGCTTATATTCCCTTCTTACTCATGGAACATTGAAACAGTTCAACATCGTTCATAGCAAGTATCCAGCAACATCTTCTCTTTTTCACTGGATGCATTGATAGCGATTGCAATGTTTGGGTCATCATTTTCGTCAACAAACCATATTAATTTTGGCAGATTGAAATCGCCGCACAGTAAGAAAATATCAGCCCACGCCATACGCAAAACCAACTGGTACGTGCGCTCATACGTTTTTACATCTTTTACATCTAGTAACCATACGATTTTTCGACTGATTCGTTACTCTTTGTGCGTATCTTCGCACAGTCGAAAAATCGTATGGTAATAGATGTAAAAGATGTAAAAACGTATGAGCGCACGTACCAGTCGGTTTTGCGTATAGCGTCGGCTGATATTTTCTTTCTGTGCGGATACTATCAAAACATCTTTAGAATTCATCTTCGAAGCTATTTCTTTCAAAGCATACATGTTGTTTTCATATACTTTGAGAGTTGAGTCTGGTTTTATATATAACTCGACCAAAAAGATGTTCTAATTAATACCAGCTACTTTGACCCAAATTTGTTCCGCTCCGAATTGGTCTCCCGCTCCGATGCAAATTGACTTGAGTTTGTTATTGACTGCAATCAATACTCCGCCTCCTCTTTCCTCGCTACGTAGTTGGTCCTTTTCAGTGAGTGTTGATCTGTCACATCTATAGACTTCATACATTGATGGAAATATGTCGGCTGAATTTATTTCTGCATTCATATGTGTTTATGTCAGCATGAAAATCGATGATTATATGACAAGGATCTCAGCGACAATTTCCGACATTTTTGATCCAATACCATTCACATTTTGTGAATGTATTGATATCTGCGTAGAGTATTTTTCATCATTAAATTTTTGTGTAGCACTCATTTCTCCTTGCAAAGAACATATACTATAATTATTTAAATTACCTGAGTGACTCCATTGAAGAAAAGCAGATAAGTTTGTCCTGTGATCTATTGGTGGCGCCACCTTTGCCAGCGCTGGGCCGGCGGACGATGGGTGAGACGAGTCTGACAAAAATCCTCATATCTCCTCTCATAATCATCGAAAACAATTTTTACAGCTGCAATCATCGTAATGGTGACCGTTTCGTCGGCGATTGTCCACAAAATTCTTTCTTTGGAAAGACCTATCGACAGTATTCCGGTGAAATTTTTGCCGATTATCCCAAACCTGGTCAAAACCATAAGCATTACTTAGTGGTTGCTCATAATTTTGCGGATGAATTTGTCGTCGCTGCAAGTTTGATCGGACACCTTGTATACGGTCACTCTGTTGATGTTGTTGTTGTTGTTGTTGTTGTTATTGCTGCTGCTGGTTTTGTGTATGTTCTTGCTGTGCGCTTGTTCCATTGTTTGTATTGTTTTGTTCTTTTTCCTTCTTCTTCTTCTTTTTCTTTTTCGTTCCATTTTTACCACTAGATTTTTCTTTCACGGTATCATCGGTCGCATTTGATTCATAGCCGGCTTGTTCATCATCGTTTGATTGACTTTGAGAATCAATTGTTATGACATTTTGTGTGTCATTACCAAATTGATTGAGTTCAATTATTGATTTCAGTTCATTCTGAACAACATCAATAATTTTCTCACCAACGAATTTCACTAATTTTGATTTTTCGTTGGTTTCCCGCTCATTTTCTCCATCAATGCATGCATTACATGTGAATCGTTGCGGCGAAAGAGTAGTTTTCTCCAAATAATACTGCAAAATAAAGTTTTTTATGAATAGTTTATTTGTTGTATTACAACAAATAAACCGTGTGAAAAAAACTTCATGTTGCAGTATTATTTGGAGAAAAATAAGAGCTACTGTTTCGCCGCAACGATTCATGTGTATATGAATTGGTATATGCTATCAAACAATGTATGTATTTGTATACATTTATCTTCACCTGTGTAAACCAGTTTTTATCCTCATGATATTTTATGAGGCCAAATGCTTTCAATAATTTTGTTGCATATGGTGTTGTCATGCATTCAAAATGTATTTTTGATTTGCAATGGTTGCATATCAAAAATTGACCACCAAAACGCAAACAGAAAATAGAAATGATGAATGACAAATTACAATTACTTTAAATTAAGATTTGGTTGTGAATTGTTATTTGAATCTATAGAAAAAAAACTGAACAAGTAGAGAAAAATGATAAATTGAATGCATCCATTGCTTTATGCACAGAATCTGTTCTTGTTGAATGTTGACTAGATTGTTGCATTCGAAACAATTATTAGAACAATGTGTAATATGTAAGTAATATGTCCGCTTATTTAAAAAAAATACAAATTTTCTGAAATTGATGTTTTTTTCTTATTGTTGAAAAGAAATCGAAATCGATGTTTTTTTTTTTTTTTGTAAAAAAAACATACAAAATTTTCTTTGTAAATCTTTGGAATGGTTTCTATTAGTAGAATCGAATGGGAAAGTCAAATTTACAAAATGAATAAATTTACTTCATTCGTGTGAATGCAGTTTACCTAGAAACAAAAATATCGTAACCAATAATAGATGTCCATAGTTTGAGGTGAATCCGGAGGAGGAGGTGGATCCAACCTGGCCCAATTTAGAAGTTGGGCTAACATGGGGGCGACATACCCGGCAAATTTTTTTGTTCTTACGATTTTGTAAAAGCGAGAAAAATCGATTCAAAGATTTTTCCATTTTTCATTATATAAATAAACTGTGAGATAAATGCGTAAGATGATAGTTGAACGTTGAATTATAGATTCAAGTCTCATTGAAAGTCTCAAATTTAAGTCTTATCCAGTTTAGCGGTTATTTAAAACCCAGAAATCATTCCGCTGTGATTTAAACCGATCAAAATATCCGCTTTTTTTCCCTGAGTGGTGTATCAAATTGCCCCGACAATATGTATCGATTTGCTCCCAAACATATATTTCAGTTTCGATCATTTTTTTAACATCACATGGAACAAAATCTAAAACACTCATTACCAAATAGAAGTAGGCAAAATTAGCAACAGAAAACAGTTACCTTTGAATCTGACCGATCAAAATAAACCAAAGCATGACGATAAGGCAAAATTGCTTGCCAGCGCCACCAAATGACTCCATATGATTCTATATAGTTCTGCGGTTGCCAGCGGTACTAATCTCTAATAGAGCGTTGCCGAGCTGTCATTATCTTCGTGCTTTGAAATAAACACAAACAAGTTGAGATTCTGAAAGAAGAAAATGCTGGACCGGTATTTGCCGAAAATAGAAAAATCATTCTTGACGATTTACGCTCGACTGCCTTCAGGCGACTGATACTGTCAAATGTGTGTATCCTTATCGCGAATTAAAATATAACAACCGTTTGAATTTTTTGTGTTGTAGATTTTTAAATTTTTAAGGTGTATCGAATTATCCTCTGTATCGAATTACCCCCATTACCCCTATATATCGTTGGAAAGATATTTAAGAGTAGAATCCAATTATGTATATAAATTTGAAAAAAATTTATCCGTTGTGGCATAAAACGGCAAAAAAACTGAATTTGACAATAGTTTTGCGAAACAAATAATTTTTGACACACTTTTCATACAAAAATTACTAAAGATTGGAATTTTTGTATGGAATCAATGCCTGAATGTCATCGTAACGACGTGAAAATTTGCACGAGAAATTTTTTTCACAAAAAGCTAACATTCTGAAAGTTTGAAGAAATTTCAATACAATTTAGGGGTACCTTCCATACAAAATATTCTTTTTTGAGCGAAAAATCATAATTTCACTTATTATGAAGAGCTAGTTGAAACTATGGTGTCTAAGTAGTCGGCAAGGATGTGGTTACCTTCCAACGTGGTAATAACCAATGAAATCGATTACCCTGGTGGAAAATAATAGAGATTTATGTGTTCTCACGAATTCGAAAAATATCAATTTTTATCATATTTTTGCACACATAAAACCACACATTTTTTGAAAAACAAACAATACTTGGTTTTTTATGGCTGGTAATGATAGTACACGATGTCTTGATTATATCATGGCCGTTGAGCACATTAGATCATTGCATGGATATGATATACAGTATCATTTTATCAATTGACCGCGTACTCATTTCTTTGTGCATCCACGCACACTGGAATGTATTTTAATCGATATTTGAAGTGCATTCGCACTCTTCCAATCGTAAAAAACCAAATCAATGTCTATCACTTTAATCACACTGATAAAACATGCATATCAATTATGTTTCCGTTTGATATCAATTTTTGTAATCAGACATTGAAATTTTTATTGATTACAAATCGGACGAATTAAAAATAGGAATCTTGTAGTTTTTTTGCATTATATAAATGCACAAAATGGGCTATAATGCATTCAGTCAGTGATGCATTGCAAAGTAGCTCATGTCCTCTCACTTCATCCCATATTATATTATAGGTTATGGTATTGTTGTTTCTAGGTAAACTGCATTTATATGCGAAAGTGAAATGATATATATGGGCTGGAAGTGAATCATGTGGAGCAGATGGATCCGACCTGGTCCAAAGTGTTCTAGAAGTTGGGAAATCATATGGTATTGAATCATTTGCTTCATCTCATACAATATTATAGTGTAAACTGCATTTATACGCGAGAGTTAGATGAAAAGAGCTGGAAGTGAATCTTGTGGAGTAGGTGGATCCGACCTGGTCCAAACTGGTCTGGAAGTTGAGCGCTCGAGAGATTACATCCCCTGCGGAGATCTGCAATTTCGTTATTTATGCGATTTTCTCATCGAAAAAGAGACAAAAATCGATTGATAGCGTCACTTTTCATTTAAAATGTATGTGGGTCTGGCCAGACCCAAGCGCTACGCATATGACAACAGAAAGTAGTGCTAAGCGGAGGGTTAATGAATGAATCTCAATTGATTCCAATGCATACTAATTTGATGCCACATCATAGAAAACACTAAAAGAAGTGTAAAAATGCGTTGATTTTTGATCAATTTTGGTTGATAGGGTAAAGTACCTATGAGAAATCCAAAAGTGGTTTTTTGTGTATACCTAAACACTGTAAAACTGTGTACAGCGGGTGTAATTGTGTATTGATAATTTTTAATACACTTTTCATACAAAAATCACAAAAAAATTAGTTCTTCTATGGGAGACATGCCTATATGACATCTAATGACGTGAAACTTAGCAGAGGTTTTTTTTTACCAAAAAATACCATTTTGACAGTTATCAGAAATTTCCATTTAAATTTGGAGTACCTCTCATACCAAATTTTCGATTTTTGCCTCAAAAACGGAAATTCTGTCTTAAATTTGAATCTGATTGCTTCAAACTTTCAGGATTTGATTTTTGTGACAAAGCAACCTATGCAAAGTTTCACGTCGATTTGATATGCTTCAATGATAAACCGAAAACTAGCGTTTTGAACATATTCAAGCTAAGAAACACAAAAACCATTGTACGTCATAGTTTCGAATTCATCTTTGCCATTTCTGGACTTTTTCAAATTTCAAATTAGTCTAAGCTAATTGAAACTGTGACCCACTTTTTCGTTATATTTTGTGGATTTATTTTTAAAATGTTGTTAACTATAACACTTTTGGTTCTATTAAGAATTTTGTTTATTCTTTTGAGCGGCATTCAAATTTCACAACCTGAATCCCACCCAATTTATTTTGGGCAGTCTTCTGTCGAAAGTTCGTGTCTTTGATTAACACTTGAGATATGCATTAGAATCTCTTTTGATTACAGTCCCTATCGAGCTGTGAATCAAAACTTATTTTCTAACTTTTTGATGGTTTCTGACGAAAGAGAAACGAAAAAGTATTCAAATTCTGCAATAAATAAAAAGTAGTTTTTCTTACCCATTGTTTCACGTAAGCTGGGATCTTCTGAAACCTTTTCCAATTTGCCAAGGAAGCCACGAATTGTTTTGAATGCCGGATCACGTACCGTTTTTTCAGAATCCACTGTTAAAGAACATAATGCTGGCAAAATGCGATTTGCGATTTCTGTAAGTAGAAAATATTGCTGTGTAGCAGCTAACGCCAGTATACCAGCAACTCTTGCCGGTGGGAATGGATCACGCATTGCTCGAATAAAGGCTGATACTAAGACACGTTGGCGCACTTGTGGATGTAAATGTGGAGCGATTTTTCCTAAACACACTGTTGTATTCGTTCGAATACCACCTTGATCATCACGTGATTGGAGCCGAGCAAAATGACGTAATACTTCGACGTTTAAGTTATTGTAACTAAGTTTGGGCGCCAAATGAATGATTGACTAAACATATGCATGAAATAAATAGGGAAATATAGCTTTCCTTCCTTTTTTATTTTTTTGAACTTTGAAAAATACCTTAACAGTTTGTTCTCGTATTGTAGGATTTGTGTCAAGGAATCCGTGCGCTACCTATAATGAAAGTATCACAAGAGAAAAAAAGGATATAATTGTCTATATTAAATTACATTATTGTTATTAATAACAAATAAATGAACCGGCTAGAATATTCGTTACCTCAAGAAATTTGTCAAATTTCCTAAGCTCACGAATATTCCAAACGATTCAAATTTCCCATCCAGTCGTTTTTCTTTATATTTATCCGTGTGACAACGAAACATTTGTACTAAAAGTGTTTGTAAGCAACTATACCAAGATCAAAAGGTCAGTAAACTCTACTCACTCTCACGCTCACTCTTGTGTACAAAATTATCGATCACAACAATTTCTCAATTTTTTCGTCAAAGCCCTAGTACCAAGGGGAAAACCGGTACTGAAATACTAAATATACTCAGAAGTATTGAAAAGTACCGAA